ATCGTCATAACGCCACCATGCATATTGTGACATTTTTGCATCTTAATAAATCGTACAAAGATAAATCGTTACACCCCTAGTTCTCAGAATGGAAAAGCACATTAGGTCTGATTTGATTCTTAAAATTATTGCACACTGAATCCCAAATTTTTTTATTTCATAATTTTTGCACGTAAAAGAATAAATTCCACCTCAGGTTATGTGAATTGTATTGACACACTGCATCCAAAACTTTGGTCCGTCATAAAACAAAAACTTTAAACTAGGTCTGATTTTTTCCATTTTTCATCGATTCCTCAACACGACCGCCATCTATTATAATGTCTATAGCAGGGGTGCTCAATCCTGTTCCTGGAGATCTACCTTCCTGCAGATTTCAGTTGCAACCCATATCAAACACACCTGCCTGTAATTATCAAGTGGTGTTCAGGTCCTAATTAATTGGTTCAGGTGTGTTTGATATGAGTTGCAACTGAAATCTGCAGGAAGGTAGATCTCCAGGAACAGGATTGAGCACCCCTGCTATAGACATTATAATAGATGGCGGTCGTGTTGAGGAATCGATGAAAAAAATCAGACCTAGTTTAAAGTTTTTGTTTTATGACGGACCAAAGTTTTGGATGCAGTGTGTCAATACAGTTCACACAACCTGAGGTGGAATTTATTCTTTTACGTGCAAAAATTATGAAATAAAAAAACTTGGGATTCAGTGTGCAATAATTTTAAGAACCCAATCAGACCTAATGTGCTTTTCCATTCTGAGAACTAGGGGTGTAACGATTTATCGTTGTACGATTTATTGCGATGCAAAAATGTCACAATATGCATCGTGGTGTTATTACGATTTGATTACGATATGACGTCCGTTTTCTCTTATTAGTTGAGCTGTTTGCACGTAAGCTACGTTCCACCTGCTGTCGCACGTGAGTTCAGATTGCAGCAGCAGTAATGTTAGCAGACCAAGATGAGTGGAGCTGAAATAGAGGATAGCCCATCTTCTCAAAATCAGACGTCTGGCAACATTTCGGTTGTACAGTCATTGCTTTAGACTCGTCCGCTTTTTGACACGCATACTGAGACAAACATAGCCTAAGTTTTAAAGTCTTCACAATGATTTAAATACTTTGCACAGCGACAGGGAAACCTCCTAATGGTGTTGAAAGAGTCACATACTGTATTTATAAGGTACAATTCACCCTAAAATATCATTCTGTCTTCATATAATGTTCCCGCCGCAAAATCACACATGACGTGAGCTGACCGTGAGCTGTTACTACAGAGGGCGGACTATGATAGACACGCAGGTATGGCAAGCCGTTTTAGCATGTAAACCTTTGTTCTGACTATCCATAAATATATTTAGAGATATCTCTAATTATATTTTGACTAGAGTCAGAATGACAATTAGAGATATCTGCAATTACAATTGTACTAGTACATAATCAGATTCTAGATATCTGCAAATATATTATGACTACTCATATTCCTCCATTGACTTCTATTGAAAAATATTTGCAGATATCTCTAAATGAGTTTTGACTAGTCACAATTGTAATTAGAGATATCTCTAAATGAATTTAATTAAATAAGAATTAAATACCTGGAAATTTGGATTTTTTATTTGCACACACAAAAAAACGAAAGTGACCAAGTAAAGCCTTAAGCTCTTACTGTTACATTCAGTTGAATAGAAAGCTTATTTTTTTGCACCTTTACTTAAATTGTTCCTTAATTTTGTCTCTGTCATTTCAATAATATTTTTAAGAAGTTTTTAAATTGTTTTATTTTCCAGAGACAGGCCTGTTTAATTTATTTTCTTAAAGAAGGTTCAGTTTAACAAGTTAAAACAAAAGAAATACATAAAAAATAGTTTACTTTGTAAAATTTGCATTTCAGTTTAATTTTCAATTTTTATTCCAAATATCGTGATACATACCGAATCATGAACATTATATCGTGATACGCATCGTGTCGTGAGCTGAGTGTATCGTTACACCCCTACTGAGAACACAAGGTGCACTGCCTTTTTATTATAGACAAGAAAAAAAGAAGTGCACTTTGTTTTTAATGCCTAATTAAATCTAAATTTTAATATCAATGCAAATATTGACATCAATGTTAATTATTATATTTATCATAACTGTTTTATAATTGTATATTTATATATTGTCATATTCACATGTATTATATTTATAACACCTGGTTGATCATTTTATCATTTTCTCTAGGCCTTGTAAAGGATCGGACTGAATGAAGATGATGATTGAAGCTCTTCTCCTCGTTGTAGCTGCTCTACAGGTGAGCTTGTATTCTGTGTATCAATATTATTACACACATCAACACTGATGATCTGATCATTATGATTCCTGTTGCTGCAGGATCACACAGCGGCTGCAGTACAAAACATATATCCCCTGGATATGGCAGTGAATTCAGTTGATGATCAGTATGATGGATGTACGATCAAAATGGCGAATCTGGTGAAGACCAAATATCTTGAGAAGGAACTCAAGAACTCAAACGCATTTAACAAGGCTTGGGAGGAAGGTGAGGAGAATTCGACAGCACCACAAGACAACCTGAAAAGGAATCATTCGATTGCCATTTACGTCTACACTAACCTCGATTCTAGTGTATATAGCAGTTTCAATATGGCGTCGCGCAATGGTAAACAAAACTACACAGACCAGACGTTCACATGGTACTCACTTCACTTTTTGCTAACGGACGCGATACAGATATTGAGCGAATCACAAAAAAAATGCAAGACAACTTTCCGTGGAACTAACGTGTCGTTTTATCGAAATGTTACAGGGAAAGTGATTCGCTTCGGCTCTTTTACGTCCTCGTCTCTCGATCGTAAAGTAGCGCAAGGTTTTGGAAATAAATCTTGCTTTAGGATCAAAACTTGCAACGGCGCTAATGTGGTCAAATATTCGAAGTATCCTGACCAGAAAGAAGTGCTGATTCCTCCGTATGAGAAGTTTAAAGTCACTGCAATCAAGACCAAAGAAGTAGACAAAAATCTGTGGTGTGAAACTGTGTACGCTTTGAAAAGCGCCGGGACAAGAAGTGACCTGAACTGTACGCTGGCATTCAAAAAGACCATGTCATTTAAAACCATTCGATTTTGTAGATGCATTAATAGGAAGATAAAAGCTATTGCGCAAGCTGTCAACCGCGGTCATTATAAGAGTGTTCGGTTTGGGCGAAAACTGAGCGTAATGCCGAATAAAATGCTGGAAGACCAACTGAGCAAACCCAATCGTAGAGATGAAGAAATGTACCAAGAGTGCATTAATGTTTTTCACTTCCTCGTTGAAAACCAAATGAACCCCACTAACAGAAACATTTATATTCGACAGCAGATTGCTCAGAAACAAGACTGCCGTCGCTTTTTAAACACTTTGGGATTCGACCCACTAATCCTGGAGTTACTAAATCCCTGCTGTGCTGCTTGAGTTGGAACACTTCGTAAAGTTGAATTCATTCATATCTGTCCAGGGATCAATTCTTTTCAGATTTAATCTATGGGTTTGCTTGCTTGACTCTGATTGGCTGATGACCATTCTAAGGGCTCATTGATGTGATGCGATGTTATGAACGTGATGTAATAACGACAATAACAGACCTATTGGAAATAGGAACAGAATATGTTCTTAACATCATATAACTCAGGATCTTCTTCTTTGGCTCTCGGCAAAGGCGGTTACATTTCTTTCCTCCTTCTCCTGTATCTCCCCTGGCTGACTCCTCTTGTCTCGTCTTATTCTATCTCTGAGGCTCTCTTTGCCCTGCTCTCCAAACAATAAGGAATTGTGAATTTGATTAACTGGTCTCTGAACGGAATTGACACCATCTTCTCGAAAAGAAGTCTGGGTTCAGGGGAACCCACCTGTCCTGCGGGGACGTTTGCTACTGGATACATGATTAACGGGTGGGAGAAGTAGTGCGTCGTGTGCCTGTCTGCTCTGTCCCTAGAGGATATTGATGATATTGATCTATTCAGAACTTTGATAACAGGGTTTCTGCTGAGTAGGCATGGCCCTGGGGTATTGATGAAAGCGGTCAGTGTGGCTTAAAACCCCACCAAGCAAGCCAGCTAGATTGAAGCGGTTGTGCTCAGACTGTGTTTATGGACCGCAAATTGAAAAACATTGCAAAGAAACTAGATGCTTTGCAACAAGATTTTGGACAGACCTGGATACTCGTGACAGACAATAGATTTCTGGGAAATTGGCAGATATTGACCCAAATTTGCAACTTTTTTCTTTTTTCCCTTTTGGCCTCCCTGCGACACTCCTGCCAATTGGCCTTGGCTGGAGACAAACAACCTTCCCCCGGAGAACCTCCGCCCCCAAGACCAGATGGCTGCCGCCTAGATCAGACTATCCCCTGTTCCCATACCTTGTTGCAATGTTTTGTCTATGTGTTTATGTGCTTGTTGCTGAGGCTTTTTTCCTCCTGATCTCACACTGCCCTACTTCAAGGACAGTCTGAGAAGGGCTTTTTGTGTCTTCCCTTTCCCTATTGTATCTTATTTCCTCTTTTTAAAGATACCTTTCATTGGCCTGTCTTCCCCTTGACGTTTGTGTATGCTCGGAGGGGTCCAATGTAAAAGTGAATGTGACAAATAAGGGCTTTTTATCATCATCATCATCATCATCATATCTGGACAAATCCACAATGAGCATGCCATTATATAACAGAAGATTAAACCATTGTCGTGCCAACCTTCTACTATAAACAGAGGCTTGTAACAGTGGCTCCACCTCTGAGCTGTTCTGATTGGTCCACTGCTTTGGAAATGACAGTGATGAACAGCAATCCTTCAACATGATGCGGTATCTAGATGCAAGACACAAGAGTGACAGTCAAACATGTTGGTCAAGCAAGTTTTTACATTGAAAAACAATAGAAAAGTATTATATTGGAAAATATTGGAGAGAAAAAATGCATTCTGTGTCAATAGCCCTCCGAGGCGTGCAGTTAGTTTTAAAAAAACGCACAGATAAAGTAGTTCCGGCAGGTTTTCAGCTTCATATCGCTACATCGAATGATTTTAGATATTTCACACAATAGAAAGTTTTGGATGAGATGTGCATCTAGAATCTAGTGCTACACACAGGATCAGTTTAAGGACAGAAACCTAAGAAAAGGCTGAAATACAGTGAACAGTATGTTTAGCTGTGATGACTGTAGTGTAAGCAGAATATCTGACTCCAGTCCATTGAATTGTTCTAATACAGTGCACACCCTAGGTGTATAACAGCCAATTATTCCTTACATAATTCATGCACAAACTAAGGATTTGCATTGCAACTGTAATCAAACATTGTGTCAAGCATTATTTTTTGCATCTTAAACGTTGTTATATTAACAGATGTTGAACTGGTATGTCGCATGGAAGATTATCCAATAAACTCAATTAACACTTGTTTTATTGTAACCTGGTCTCTTGAATACTTCTCTGCATTACGGCCCTTAGAAAGGTTAGCTGATGCCTGGTTTTGGAGTTTTTGGTTTAGAATTTTTTTCCCCCTAACATTAACATCGCCTTATCATTTACTATCCCTCACAAGGTTTGAACCTTCATGAGTTTCTTTCTTCTGCTGAACACAAAAGAAAATATTTTGAAGAATATTGGTTGCTGGCACACATTGACTTCCGTAGTATTAAAGGGGTGGTCTGCAACTATATCACGCTTTAAATTGATGTGTAATGTAGCTGTGTAAACATAAGCAACATCTCTGAATGTAAGACGCTCAAAGTTCAATGCAAAGGGAGACATTGACTTTTACAGTTAGCCTACAGTAAACGAACTTGGGGACTACAAAAAAAAAATCCATCCTGGTTAGTGAGATCACAACGGCTTCTGGTTATACGGATTTACCACGCGCATACACCCCACGCAGCAATGGGGCGTGGCCAGAGGCGCTGTTATAGCAGAGAAAGCTAAAATGCTGTCCAAACGCTGCTGTTCCACAGAGCTTTTTTGTTTCAGTATTTGAGCTTCCAAAGGACTCGACACAAAGAGAGAAGTGCTTGCAGTTTAATTTTAATTATGTTGCAGAGAATTATAAAAAAATTATAGCTCCTATTTGACAAAGGAGAACTTCCAGAATCTCTTCCAGTTCAGTGCTGGATTCGGCTAAAAACTCCTCCAACCGACGAAGTTGTGGATTGTGATTCACAACATGTAAGTATTGGACCTATTATTTGTTAAAATTGATCAATTACAGGCACAGTGTCTGGCGATAGAGGTGTGCTGTAGGAAAAGAAAAATGCTATTTGGCACTGTTAACCATTTAGCTACAACTTGTATTGTATAATTTAGCTAATGCTGCTAACAGCTGCTCTGACTGGACTGTTTACATGGCATAAAAGCGCATGCTTGTAGGGGCCTGGCGTGGTGACGTGAGCCAATCCGTTAATCACAGCACGTTATGTTAGCTGACCAATCAGAGCCTCTTGAGGACGAGCCTTTCAGAGGAACTAGGAAATATGACAGTCATATTTCTCTCAAGGTTTTTCTCTTCACTCTCCTATCGGTGAAGTTTTTTTCCCTTTACGCTGTCCCCACTGGCTTGCATGGTTCAGGATTTGAAAAGCTACTTATCGATGAATTTGCTCTTCAGTATTTGGACTCTCAGTAATGATTTCAAACCACACTGAACTGAGCTAAACTAAACTGAACTTAAACACTAAAAACTGAACTACCCTGATCCAGTTACTATGACCATTTATGTGAAGCTGCTTTGACACAATCTGCATTGTAAAAGCGCTATACAAATAAAGCTGAATTGAATTTTCATGTTAGCTGAGTAGCTGTATATAATCAAAGTAAGATATATGGAATAATTTTCTACAAGTGAAGCATGGGCACACATTGCTTTGCAGCTTATAAACACAACAGAGCCTTAAAAATACACTGTGGACCACCTCTTTAAAACAGTTACAACGGAAGTCAATGGGTGCAAGCGACCAGAATTTTTTCAAAATATCTTCTTTTGTGTTCAACAGAAGAAAGAAACTTAAAACAGTTTTAAAAAAGTGAAGGGAGGGTAAATTATGGTAAAATTGTCAATTTAGGATGAGCTGTCCCTTTTTAATGCATCACTTTTGATTAGATTATATCATATAGTATATTGCCATGTGTAACGGAGCAAAGAAGTGTGTTAAATTAATATCCTAAATGGGGACAGCGCCCTCTACAGTGTGCGTGGTGTAACAAGCGTGTGAAGTATAGACCGCCCACAGCAGAGTTAACGAAGCATTAGCCGCGTTTCCACTATCGCGCTTAAAGCGAGCGAGCCAAGGCCAGTGGGGTTTCCACTGTCACTTCCGGGGCCTAATCGGGCCAAAGCGGGGCTTTCTTGGAGCCAGCGGCCAGCCTTTTTCGGCCTGCCGAATACCCTGGGCCAAGGAGGGCCAGCTGGGGCTTGGGGGCGGAGTGAAAGGAGAGGCGGGCAGTTTTCTGATTGCACATGAGTACATGCGCCAAACAAATAAAGAAATAAGGGAAAGAAAATATCTAGCCTTATAGTCTGGGGTCTTTTTTGCGTATGATCGCCCTTATGTTTCCCTTTTAAATGTAAGGCTGCTGCATAAAATAATAAAGTAGTTTTAATTTATAGTGACGTTCTTTGCTGCGTCCTCCTTTATGTTTCAATAACGCATAATAATCTTTACACCATATTAAAGACACAGCAGACAGTAAAGTTTTTTTGAGAGTTTTTGTCAAGTTTAAAATGTTTGTTTTTGCACGTTTAGATGCCTGTATGTGTGTGTGAGACCGGGCAAGAGCGCTCCCTTTACAGCTCTGTTGATGCCGCGAGCGGCTTTTTTCTTTCTTTATTTTGGAGATAATACACAATATAAATACAACAGAAAGACATAAAACTTAACAAGTTACATGCCCACTTTCGTAGACTTTATACAATATAGTGTAATATCTCGATAAAATAGCCTAAGCTATATTGAAATATAATTTAAAGAATTACAAATATCAGATATAATAAAATCGCATTAAATAAATAAACCAATATAAAATAAACAAAAGCTAGCAATAACAATGTAGGTAGCTTATATACAATACATAAATCAAACCGTTTTAATGCCACATATAGCCTAACTTTCATTTTACAAAGACCTATCTAAAAAAAGATTTTAGATGATTTCTAAAAACAATAAACACCGGAGAAGGTTTGAAATATTATTTATAAAGTAGTTGGATGCGATGATATTAATCAAATCGCGCAAACAGAGCATTATTTGGGTGAGTAAAAGCAGAATCTAGCCTAAGTTATACCTTTTTTTCTGTAACCCAGTCCTGCGCATCGCAGCCTTAAACACATTGGGGAAAAGTCTAAACACAAAACGTGTTCTGTATCCTCAAACAACTGTTTATGTTTTTATATGATGTGGTTAAATTTATAAATGAAACTTCAAATGAAGAGCTTTAGTGAATAGCTGCTGAGCGCAACAAATATGGCTATTTTATTAGGCTACTCGCTCTTGTGCTGAAACACTTAACACGACGTCAATCAAAACGAGGATGTTATAAAATACATGCCATATCGAGTTATAAAGGAGAATTTCTGGCTTTATATCATGGATGGATGCGCTCACTGTGATGGGTCCCTGCGTTAGTGGCGAGAGCGCACAATGCCAACAGTCGGTCGGCGAGTAATGAATGGAAATACACAGGTCTGTGCGTATAGACATTTCATGTACTGCTGTACAGTAACGTGTCATTTGTTTGTTTCGGTTGTCTTCATTTTAATAGTTTAGTTTCGTGATGATTCTATGGTGTGCTTTATCTGCCTAATTCCCGCTAAAGTGGGCGCCGCTGAAGTGGGCGGGTTGTGTGACGTATGATTTGGGGACGTTCTGTGGGCGGTGTTTGCGTGACGCGCTGTGAGCTACTAGCTCACTAGTTTGGCGTCGAATGTGTTGCTCAATCATGAGTTATAACATGTTTATATAGCAAAGCCTGATTGTAATCAATTTGTGTGCTTGTGTTTTATATAGAGTGGTCATTTTCTTCATGAACCAGCAACTATTTACACGCGCTGTCTGTCTTCATTGTACAGTGTGCTGTAAAAGACAGCCCAGGCAAGACCGACACACATGCTACAGTTTATTACCTTTAACCCGTTTAACATTGCTAAAGTTACACAATTGATTGGGTTCAAAAAGAGAAGCTTTTTTCCTGTTTACATCCCAGAAGTTACACAACAGAATGGGTTCAAAAAGAGAAGCTTCTGCTTTCTTGCAAAAGTGCAAACCTGGAATTATTGAAAACACAGCAATGCACAAACATTAGGCAGACATTAAAGACTTTGTAGACAGTTAATCAAATGCAATAACAATATTTAAGGAAAGTGTAAAAGTTTAGAATGTAAGAAGCATTGGTATATGAAGCATGGATGGCAGCCTAAAGGGAACCAAACCCTCATTTAAAACTAGATGTTGCGTAAGAGCAGTTTCTGTTCCACATGATACGATTGAGAGAATCTAAATAAGACTGGGTTATTGTGAAAATGTGGAGGAATTTGCTCATTTAGCATTTACTCCTTAAAAATCATTAAATAACCATTCTTTCGATCATTTTCCTTCAGCTTAGTTCCTTATTTATCAGGGGTCGCCACAGCGGAATAAACCAGCAACTATTCCAGTATGTTTTACACAGCAAATACCCTTCCAGCCGCAACCCATTACTGAGAAACACTCATACACACTCATACACTACAGCCAATTTAGTTTATTCAGTTCACCTATAGCACATGACGTGTGTTTGGACTGTGGAGGAAACCGAAGCACCAGAAGGAAACGAAACTCCACACAGAAATGCCAACTGACCCAGTCGGGACTCCAACCAGCGACCTTCTTGCTGTAAGGCGACAGTGCTAACCATTGAGCCACCGCTATGCCTTAAATAACTATTTATTCATTAATTTTTTTTTTGGCTTAGTCCCTTTATTGCTTATCCAGCATATGTTTTACACAGCGGATGCCCTTCCAGCTGCAAACCCATTTACTGAAACACCCATACACTTTCATTCACACACATACACTAACTGCCAACTGACCTAGCAGAGGCTTGAACCAGCAACCTTGTTGCTGTGAAGGCGACAGCGCTACCCACTGTGCCACCTCGTTGCCTAAATAATCATTAGCTGCGTCCCAAATGGCACACTATACACTATGCACTCATGCACTATGTACTTATGCACTTACACACTCAACATGGTAGTATATGTATGTAGTGGCGTCCCAAATGGCACACTAATGTTTTTTTACTAAGCGGAAATTCAAACCGTTTCCCTGATGACGTTTGACGGTCGCCAAATCAGTGAAATAAACGACCGAATGATCAAATACCTGCCGTGAGTGTTGCCGCATTCACCATCGGGAGGCGCTATAATCACTCTCG